CCCGGCTAGGGCGGCTTGCCCACCCCTTCAGTCCATTCAGGTGTCCCGGGTTAATGAGTTGGTGGCTCTTGACATTCTGGGTCCCTTCCCTGTCACCGCTCGGGGAAATAAGTACCTGCTGGTTGGGGTTGAATATTTCACCCGTTGGCCTATGGCCTGGCCCCTCCCCAACCAGTCGGCAGCAGCCATTGCGGAGGCGTTTCTCCAGGGCTACGTCCTGGATAAGGGTGCCCCGGAACGGCTGCTAACCGACCAGGGAAAGAACTTTTCGTCCAATCTTCTGCGGGAGGTTTGTGACCTTTTGTGCACACAGAAGGTCCGGACTTCCCCCTACCACCCGCAGACCGATGGTATGGTCGAACGTCTACACCGGACCATTACCTCTATGTTGTGTCATCAGGTAGACGACACACAGTTGGATTGGGACCTGAGGATTCCCGGAGTTCTGGCCGCATATAGGTTAGCGCCTCACGCGGCCACAGGCTATTCGCCCTTCTACTTAATGTACGGCAGGGAAGTCGACCCCCCCGTGGAGGTGCAATTGCGGGTCCAGTCTGCGGCTTCTCGCTCGAAACTGTCCGAACACACTCAGTTCAATATTCGGAAGTTGGTCGAGGCGAGGGTGGCCGCGCAGGAAAATTCCAGGGCAAGGCAACGGGCCAATGAGCGTCTGTATGATCGCCGGGTTACGGTGTATAAATGGGCGGTAGGGGATAAGGCGTGGCTGCACTGCCCGCAGGTGCCGCTGTCGACGTCATCGAAATTGCTGCGGCCCTGGCGGGGGCCGGTCGACATTGTTCGGGTCGTTCGGGACCAGTGTGTTAGGGTCGCGTGCGGACGGCGTTCTTGGTACGTGCACCCCTCGCGCCTGAAGCCCTATGTCGCACCACGCACTCACACACCTTCATCTCGCAGGGGCCGGCCGCGTGACGTGTCCGGCAGGTTGGGGGAGGGGCCTCGTGACCCCCTTGTTGTTCCAAAACCCCCTGCCACTCTTTCGGATGCTGCAGGTGTGAGTCCACCTAGGGTGGTCTCGCCAGAGGAGCGGGAAGCGAGCCGGCCGCCTGTCCAGCAGGAAGACGGCTCACGGGCTGTGTCCCCGGGGCCTCGAAACGTGCCGGACGCCCGTCATCTGGCCCCTCCTGACCCTCCGCAAGGAACGCTGGCTTCTGGCGATGGACCCGCCACACGGACTCGTTCGAAGGGTCTCAGGTTCTCCTGAGACCTGTCGCAGACACTGCCTCCTCACGGGGCCTGGGTGTTCGAGTCACCTTGTTCGTTGGTGTGGTGTGTCCGCGGTGTTCTTGTGTACAGGGGGGTTGGGGTAAATTATCGGGGATAGTTGTGTTGTTGTTCTGTTGTTGTTATTGTTGTGTTGAGGCTCACGCATTGTTATTGTCGTGTTCAGAATTCCTGGTTCGCGAGTTAGGGTTGGGATGTGGATAGTGATGCAGCCGGGACGGCTGCGTGCTGTATAGGGGGGGGTGATGTGGTGGTCAGGGTTGACACCAAGGTTGACACAGGTCACACAGGTCACACAAGCTAGGGGAGAGGTACGTACCGGTCTGGACCGGCCCGGATTGACAGGGACGAGAGGTGGTTAGAACGGCTCTGAGGGGAGGGGGCTGGCGAGAGCCAGGGCCCGAGACACCCCCGCCCCTCAGAGAGAGGGGATATATAAGACGGCTCCCGGAGAGCGGAGGGGTCGATCGGAGGAGAAGCTGAAGGAGGAGAGCCGGAGATCCTGGACCCCCAAGCCTCAAGGATGCCACCCCTCTGGAACTGAGTCGGCTGAGTAGCTGTAGGCTAGGGAAGAGAGTAGCTGAGTAGCTGTAGGCTAGGGAAGAGAGTAGCTGAGTAGCTGTAGGCTAGGGAAGAGAGTAGCTGAGTAGATGTAGGCTAGGGAAGAGAGTAGCTGAGTAGCTGTAGGCTAGGGAAGAGAGTAGCCGAGTAGCTGTAGGCTAGGGAAGAGAGTAGCCGAGTAGCTGTAGGCTAGGGAAGAGAGTAACAGAGTAGCTGGAGGCTAGGGAAGGAGAGAAATGAGAATAGAGCCGGAGGCTGTACCTCCCTAGGTTGTGTGTGTGGGACTGTCTCCCCAGTGAGTCCTGAGGACTAGTGTTATCGGAATAAAAGCGTGTGGCCTCTACGAAGTGTCGGTCTCATTCAAGAATACTACACTTGTATAATCTCCTGTAAATGTAGATGCTACTGGTTCTTCATGTTCTGCAGATGTAGATGCCACCACCGCTATGCATTGCGCGGCGGTTGAACTTACGACTCTCGATCCGAACAGACAACTGGACAGGTTTGTTCGTATCTATGAAAGTTCGTAAATCGAGTGTTCATAAGTAGAGGAGTCTCTTAAATTGTGTGGCAGTAACAGCTGAGTGTGGCCCCATTGCCTGGAGAATACAGTGAGGCTTAGTGCGGCCTGGAAGTGTATTATTAAATAAGATACATTACAATTCCTTATAAGGGAAACAAACACTAACTGACTACTAATGTAGCATAATCACAATAAAACGCATGCCAAATGAATACTAATCTACAACTCGCATCGTAACAATAGCCTGCTTACTAATCTAGTATATAATTACAATAACCCCCCCTCAAATCTTTGCACCTGACGAATTAATGAGTTAATGATGACGTCACCCTGCTGCTGCTCTATATAAGAACGGGAGACACAGCAGAGCCTCACCATTCTGGCGAATTGCTCGATGATGCTGGATGCAATTACCAGCGAAACGTCGTACTCAAATTGTAAATGTTGTGGTTTCACGCTTCAACACACCAGTGGGCTAAAGCAGTGAACTATTTGTCTTTTGTCAACGTGACACTTTTTTACTGATTGGCCGTGTTGGGTGGTGGAGGGTTACGACACATTTATAAATAACGCGATCTAAACCCAAAAACGTTAATTATTAGTCAGGCTCCTATCCGCGTTGATATAGAGGGTGTGGATAGATCCTATTATCCGTGCACTCATCAGCAGCTGAACACAAATAGGATTCAATTTAGAACTTGACTTTTGGGTGTGCCTTTTCTCCAATCACTAATAACACTGGTCAACACACTTTTTCTGGCATAAGGTATTCCAACGGTTTTAAGGTAATTTTGGGGTGCTGATTCCAAATCTGGCATTAGTTTTTGTCTATCACATCAGGTTTTTGAGATATCAAATATGGCATTTTCAATAAAAACTGCAGAAGAAAAATATTAAATAAATGTGGATATCTACATAAAATGATATTATAAACACACTATCCTAAAAACACAGCACCATATTTTAACACTAAAGCAGTCACTGACTCGCAACAACTTGCAATCATAAGTGACAGAGTTCATTTCGGGTAAAATCAATGAAAATGGGGTATGCCGATCGCATAAAATGAGATGTGATAGAGCAAATCTGAGATTAGATTTGGAATCAGCACCCTGAAATTAGTCTAAAACAATTTAAAGCTTTCGTGACTGCAGGGATTCATCTTCTTGGTTCTTTCGGTAAAGTCACGTAGAAGGGAAGTAAAAAAATAATAATTCAGACGCTGTCTCCCCGACAGACCTGTCTTCACCTGAGGACGGCTGCTTGCGTTGTGGCCGAAACGTCGTGAGAATTATTTTATTATGTTTTATTTTTATTATTTTATTACTTCCCTTCTACGTGACTTTACCGAAAGAACCAAGAAGATAGTCTAAAACAGCTGCAAAAGTCCAGGCCAGAAAAAAATGTTTTTTTTTTTGTTGACCAGTGTAATATAATCGGATGTATATGTCTCCTTCTCCACAAAATAAACACACGATGGGATCTGCGAATCGCGAGAGGCGTTTCGTTACGGTGCAACGGCAAACGCTCCTGGTCATTGCGGCATGGTGAGGGTTACTGCAGCAGCAGCAGCAGCAGCAACTACTCTATGGTCAATCTAGATTTGAAGTTTTCGTGACTGCAGGGATCCATACTCTTTGGTTCTTTCGGTAAAGTCACGTAGCTATAAAATAAAATAAATTAAATCACGACGTTTCGGGCGCAACACAAGCGTCCGTCATCAGGTGATTTTATTTATCTTATACCTACGTGACTTTACCGAAAGAACCAAAGAGTACTCTATGGCCAGTGAACAATGTCAGACCTCTTCTCCATGTTATTATGATTGCGATTTATGCTCGTTTACCCAGGAAAGCCTCACTGAGTCTCAAGACCCTTTTCCAGGAGGGATCCTGCGACGTTTTCGCACGAGGGGCTGACGTTGCTATGCGTTTTCAAATTCAGTAATGTATGGTGGAATGTTTCAGATTCGTCAACATTTAGACAGTGGCACCGGCAATGCAATCGCCTACTCTTCTTCGAATAACACCATGGGATCTCTAACACCCATGGTGAAGCAGACGGCATGTAGCATTTTACGGTTTAACATGCACCGCGTTATTAACCAGGGTGGCCCGTCGCATTCGAACGGCAAACCTCGGCAACGAGCAGCGGAACGCGGTAACGCCAAGCGACGTCACATGCAGAGTAGGCAGGCCTGGGTGGTCTCTCTGGGCGAGCCTGGGTGCCAGAGGTCGCAAACGGGTTTTGATTCCTTACCCGTACCCATACCCGGCCGCACCAGGGTCGCAAACGGGTACCCGTACCTGGCCGTACCCATACCCTACCCGTACCCGGCCGGGTATGGGTAGGGTCCGGGTATCGGGTACCCGATTGCGACCTCTGGGATGAAGCCATGTTGCAGGCACGGGTGGGTTGATTTTAGGAACTTGAATTGTGAGAAGAGACAAGACGTTGGGAAATGAGTGACAAACGGTTACTCACCAGTGACTCACGGTCTACCCGTACCCGTATCCGGCCGCACCAGGGTCGCAAACGGGTACCCGTACCCATACCCGGCCGGGTACGGGTAGCCGGGTATCAGGTAGGGTACGGGTATCGGGTACCCGGTTGCGACCTCTGCTGGGTGCCCTGTCAGTGGTGACGGCAAGTACCAGACGCCCCCGGATCTCACCGACAGTGGCGTAGACGACGTCATGGGGATTGGCATCGCATACGAAGCCGTAGTGCAGCAGCAAGCCCTGGCTGTCGTGAGGCCCATAGCAAATGAACACCTGCGAGTGGCGTGCGTGCGTCTGCCCAGCACGCACCTCGTACTCCCGCGTCGCCTCGTTGAACCCCGCCGCGACCTGCCACACCGCCACACAGAGAGAGTATGCGCCGCAGGGCACTTTAGCAACGCAAGTGCATCCTTTTCATCTTGCCAAACGCTAACATCTCAGAAGGTATTGACTTCAATTGTCCGGTTCGGCGACGGAGAATATGTCCGCAACTACGCACCACATGAAGTATACCTCTTGCTATGGTTGCGGCTACTAGTCCCGTGCTACCGATTCTGTTTTTTTGCTGAATAAAAAGTTTCAAAATAGAAATTGCATTTAATTTTCAAAGTAGGTTAAGCTTTAATTCTAGATTTGAAGTTTTCGTGACTAGGTTAAGCTTTGCAAATTGGTACACGGAAAACCAATTCATAAAGTCAGCCGACCGCTGAAAACTAAATGGTTGCCAAGTAATACAAGTTTTTTTGGATTAGATCGCGTAAGCTAGTTGTAGTTACTGGCGAAACGTCGTACTCAGATTGTTAATGTTGTGGCTTTCCTCTCCACCACCACTTTGTTGTACTAGTAACGAATTGGCATATTCTGTGTACATCACAAAGCTTACTAATTGTCTGTGTCGGGTGGTTGCGGGTTGAACGACACATTTATATATTTACGATCTAACCCAAAAAAATGGAAATTATGGATGATATTGGTCACGAAAGCCAAAGTGTTAAACTGGGTGCCAAGTATGCTACTCCAGTCGTTCAGTAACTCGGAAAATATGAAGTGAGAAATGAAGCCCGAGGCTAAATGACAACTTTGACTTTGATCCCTGATGGCGAAACTGCTGTGTGAACGTGGTAATGCAGCGCAGCGTCATGCGATACAGCACAGTCAATAACCTGTGGCCGATTCCCCCTCTGATGTCAGTTGGGGACTGTCAGGTTCCTGACCTTTGCGGAGGGGTGGTGGTTCAGAAGGTCAAGCACGGGTGCGAGTGCGAGGCTCCCCGTGCCCCCGGCCAGGGCAGGGCAGGGCTGGGCGGGGAGGTACACGGCCCGCGTGTTCACGCTGCACCACGCCCAGCGGAACGCGTCCTTGCAGAACACGCGACTCACCTACGCGCACGCAAGTAATGTCTTTATTTTTCGATTTAAAGCTTTCGTGACTGCAGGGATTCATCTTCTTGGTTCTTTCGGTAAAGTCACGTAAAAGGGAAATAATAAAAATAAAACATAATAAAATAATTCTCACGACGTTTCGGCCACAACGCAAGCAGCCGTCTTTAGGTGGAGAACAGGTCTGTCGAGAAGGCAGAGTCTGAACAGACCTGTTCTCCACCTGAAGACGGCTGCTTGCGTTGTGGCCGAAACGTCGTGAGAATTATTTAATAATGTTTCGTTTTTATTATTTTATTCTTTTCCTTCTACGTGACTTTACTGAAAGAACCAAGAAGATGAATCCCTGCAGTCACGAAAGCTTTAAATCAAAATCCTTTACATTGGTGGAGGAATGAACGAGCAAAGTTTACGGGAACAGTGACCATGGTAGTAGCGATAGAAGAGTCACGAGGAGGCGACTGACCGCTGGCGAGTGAGTGACTGGGGTGAGTGTTGGCTCATCTTCAAATTGACTGCTTTACATTAAATTCTATGACACAGTGTGAGGTAGTTACTTGTGTGCTCCACCCCAGGTATGACAACAATATTCAAACTTCGCCTAATCTTGAAGGCGTTTACCAAGAATCGCCGGTGACGAACCTCCACACAGGGGGTGTGTGTTAGGGCGCAGACCAACATCACCACCGAGTTAATCCGGTCTATCAAGTCCACATTTAAATTGTCGCAATGTAAGATGCACTTCAAAATCCCCGCAACGATGTGTTGCAATAAATAGTTTACGATAATAATGTACAGCCCTATCAATTCACCGCTGGATGACGACCTGCCAATTGCATGTAGGGTGTTTGACCATACTTCACCACACCGGCCACTGCAGGTTGACGAAGGAAGGTGGGGATGGCAGGCACGACAGGTTCACATTTCAATTGCCGCCGAAGATACCCATGCCATGGAATCAAACTCAGCTTACCGGGTTTATAGCATAGTGTGCTAAAAACTGGGCTACCCCTTCAACCCTGTGCTGCAGGAGTAAATACTGGATTTGGAAACTCTGCTGTGTGGTTATGCTGTGCCCAAACATCGATTAAGATTGCATCTTACATTTAAAGAGGTGTGTACCCGTCAGTCCGTTTTTAATATGCAATGGGATGTGATACTCAGTTACTATGAGTGCTTGGAAACTACACCTGACACAGCAGCTAAAATGCGTATTCATGTAATGTTAGTGCTTTTGAACAAAACCTTTGCAACTAATATTTTATTGAATGTACTTTTGAACTATATCCTAGACCAGGGGTGGGGAATATCCGGCCCGCGGGCCGTATAAGGCCGGCAAAATCATTTGGTGTGGCCCTGCCAAGGCAACCGCAGGCAGGACTCGAAATTCAATAAATCTCGGAGCAAACCTGGAAAAGCAGTTGCGAGTAGCAGCAACATCATCAATACCAGCTAACATCACACGCCTCGCCAAAGAGAAGCAGTTCCAGCCATCGCATTAGGGGTGTGAGTTAATTACATGTTTGACCAAATATAAACAGGCTAATTTTTAAGTTGATAATTTTGTATGGCCTGCGAATGATGTTATAAATATCCAAATGGCCCTTGGCAGAAAAAAGGTTCCCCACCCCTGTCCGAGACAGTAAAAAATGTTTCTCGTTGGAATTTCAGTTGTACGTTGCATATAGTAAAAGCGATATTTTCATTCTCAAATCTAGACGTTATCCAAATTAAGTGCAGAAGCACATTTAACGTGAGTTTTTGTTGTACAGTCATTGGTGACATGGTTGTGGCCATCAACTCATTTCACTTGAGAACCCAGTTTAATCATAGGTGGCTGAAACCAGCTTTCAAACTCAGGATTATCAGCGGTGCTGGCTCAAGAGTTTTGATATTTGAGCCGCCCGGTCCCCTACACCACATGCACATTTTTATCATGCGGCCCACTGACTGACATAGCTGAAAATCCTGACCCTGGTGCTCACTCACGGGCTCTGGGAAGAGCGGCTGGAGCAGGCGGACGAGCGGTCGGGTGCCCCGCCAGTCCTGCAGTAGCGCTGCCACCTGAGCCTCGGCCTCCTGACGGAGGGGCGCGGGGAGAGCCGACCTCTCCTCGCTGGAGAAGTACGCGGGACACGAGTACGACGCAGGGAGCACGGCGATGTACGGGCCCCACTGTCCCGGCTGCTTGTGCTGCTGCACTGTCGGAAAACGCATGCACACGACGAGTCGGCGCACTTCATTTCAGTTTTTTCGATCAGCGCTGCACATTTACCAGAGGTTGGAATCGGGTACCTGATATCCGTACCCTACCCGATACCCGGCTACCCGTACCCGGCCGGGTACGGGTAGCCGGGTACCCGTTTGCGACTCTGGTGCGGCCAGGTACGGGTACGGGTAGGCCATGAGTCACTGGTGCGTCACTGTTTGTCACTCATTTCCAAAGTCTTGTCTCTTCTCACAATTCAAGTTCATAGGTACGGGTAGCCGGGTATCGGGTAGGGTACGGGTACCCATTTGCGACCCTGGTGCGGCCGGGTACGGGTAAGGAATCAAAACCCGTTTGCGACCTCTGACATTTACCCAGGACAGCCTCACTGAGCTCAATACAAGGAGTATTTAAACGCTTTATAGACCCAAAACGCAAATGGTCAAATCACCAGATTGCTCCCGATCACGTCATATCTCGGAGGCGAAGCAGAGATGAGCCTGGAAGACGCTTGGACGGGCGACCACCATGACTGAAGCAGGTGTTGCAGACCGCTGCGGTAAAAGTGTTACCAATCAAGTCAACCTGCTGCCAGATTATGCTGCCCTCTACTGCATGGAACCGACATCGTTTGTAGGGATCTCACGAGTTAGCCCTGTGCTATGCGCTTCCGTAGGCCGTTCTCTAATCGTTGGTGTTTGTGAAGAGTTTCGCTGCTCTGTGGTAGTTCCGATTGGATTTTTCATCTCAAGGAGATGTTAACCCTGCTCCATGTACGAGGAATGCAATGGAAGAAGTTTTCAAATTCAATTTCAGGAGCCGCATCGCTCCCTCGCTACTCACAGGCGGGGTCCCCATCACGCGCCAAAGGCAAGCAGGTCTTGCTTTGAGAGAAGAACCTTTCACAGATGAGGAACACGCACAGCGCTTGCAGTGCAGTCACACTCCCACTGCACCTGCAACACACAAATAATAGTCAACATTCATAAAACGAAGACGAATACGCATTACGTAACTTACCAATGTGTGTTTTCCCTCACAGGCATTTAATGAACAATAACAGTAGTGCTCACACCAGACGCATAGGAAGCGATACGTCCGTCCATAGGCCGCCATGCGAAAAGGGAACTTGGATAATCGCTCTGCCGGGAGGGTGGGGGTGCCTCAGCCGGACACGCTGTGGAAGAAAGTACTCCCCTCGACAGCATGCCGAGGAGAGTCCTTCCATCGCTGATTAGTGTTGCAGGTTGTGGACAACCCTTTGATCAATGTGGCCGGTTTTCTAGCGATAAATCACGAATGCAACGTGACTTCATAGTCAGGTTTGGTTCAAACTGGATCATCTTTACAAAGAGTTATAATCGCCACCCCATTACAGACGAACAGAGGGCAGAGCTAATGTATTATAGCGTTCAACCTTAGCTGGAAAGTGTTGTGAAGACTCACTCACGTAGGTAGCGCCCAAGGTAGGTGTCCAGCACGGAACTGGCTGTGAGAAGGCATCGCTCAGGAACAGAGATAATGACATCGCCTGGCTGCAAGGGGAAGGGAAGGCAGCGAGGGTGAAGTCATTTTCAGTGAATGGTCATTCACCTCACGAACGAGCCTGAGGACTCTCTAAAATGTTTTAAGATACACACGCGTGACAGGTGCGGGACACACAGTGATACGTGCTGCGTATGAAACACACTGTCACGTGTCTGCGGCATGCTGCTATGTGACACACGGGTCTGGAGGAACTCTGCATGGAGGCCGGGTGGTTCAGAGGTCAGAGTGCTGAGCAGGTACTTTTGAGATTCTATGTTCCAAGCCAGGCAGCCGCCTGTGATTAAACCGAGGCCTTAATGTGGTATTAGTTGATGGCCTCAGCCCGGCCACCAAGGTCTGTACAAAAAAACTTCCACATAAAATTTGGTTCTGGGATTAATGTCGCTTACTTCCAGCTCTGAGGATTTAAAATAGGAGTTCGACTGTAACGCGCCACATTGTACTAACTTTTGCAAGGCGGATGGGAAAGTGTTGCCCCATACTCTGTGAACCAAAGGTCACTTAAAGGGATCTCAGAATTTCCCCTGTGACATCCGCCTTCCACGGGACGTTCCCTTTCATGAAGCGTTGCATCGCTCGTGCAAGAGATCCTAATGACGTGATGCCGATTGGCACAATTGTGATAAAAAAATTGTGGAGAACAACATGGAGCAAGAGTAGAGCCTCACCATTCTGGCGAATTGCCCGATGATGCTGGATGCAATTACCAGCGAAACGTCGTACTCAAAAATTGTAAATGTTGTGGTTTCACGCTTCAACACACCGATGGGCTAAAGTAGTGACACTTTTTTGCTGATTGGCCGTGTCGGGTGGTGGAGGGTTACGACACATTTCTAAATAACGCGATCTAACCCAAAAACGTTGATTATGAACATGAACAGTATTAACTTCGAAAGAATAGGAACTGCGTGGTAGGTAGAGCACACCTGGAAATGTCTCCTCGCCATAAGCCCTCGCCCTGTGTCTGGAAAGAGAAGGTGAGACAAAGCTGTCACCTCAACTGCTCGCAAAGCACACGTCAATCACTCTACTTAACCAGCAGATTAAATACAATCATTGAGGCACGTGAAGCAGCATTCTGTTTTACAAGGACGACATATCGATTCTAGATTTGAAGCTTTCCTGACTGCAAGGATTCAGATAAGCCCCTCCCCCCTTAACTTGTATTTAAGGGCTGGTCTTTTGGAATTTTCCTCACTTGATGCAGTAATTTTAGCTGTGACGGTCCCACCTGATGACGGAGACTTGTGTTGCCTCCGAAACGTCGTGATTTTTATTATTTTATTTCTATTATTACTTTTATTAATTTTAATTTCATTTTTTACCTACGTGACTTTACCGAAAAAACTAAGAATACGACCTATCGAGTCACTTTAAGTGGATAATATTTTAAACACATTTAAAATGTAACAAATCTGGATTAAATTGAATAATAACTTAAAAGAACAATTTTTATAATTCTCAGAAAAGGTGTATTGCATTTTTTAGAATTAAACATACAATATATTATGGAAAGGAAATTCACACGTGTCTGGAGCGCTGTTATATAAAAGCCATCCTAGGTCGCTCACTCAACCCAAACACCTCTTATCGACGCATAAACTCTGGCGTGTGGAGTTTGTATGTTCGTCCCCTGTTCTGCATGGAATTTCCTCTGAGTACTACCCATGGTAAAAATAAAAATTACACAACTGTAATTGGTATTGGCAAATATCCTAATGCTGAAAATTTACCCACAAACTATTGAATTCGCATTACACAAACCAAACTCGCTCCCGATTGCGAAACTTGACAGGACCCTCTAGAAGAGGTATTGATTGAGACTCGGTTGGACCTTCCTGATTAGACGGCAAGCACAGTTGTACCGTACTTCTACACGACCGCGTCTATTGCTTCCCGCCTTCACTAACAACCCCCCCTCACCCCCCAACGATTCGCGCAGGCGAGCGTACGCCGTCATCCTGCAGTGGATCGACAAAAGGGCTGCGAGTAGACACAAGGAGGAGGCGCGTGTTCACAAGGGCACCTTCCTGGGTGGGAGTACAGTACATGCTGTGGGAGTACAATACATGCTGTGACAGTTGGAGTACAGTATATGCTGACAGTGGGGGTACAGTACATGCTGTGACAGTGGGGGTACAGTACAGCACATGCTGTGACAGTTCGGGTACAGTACAGCACATGCTGTGACAGTGGGAGTACAGTACAGCACATGCTGTGACAGTTCGGGTACAGTACAGCACATGCTGTGACAGTGGGAGTACAGTACAGCACATGCTGACAGTGGGGGTACAGTACAGTACATGCTGTGACAGTGGGAGCACAGTACAGTACGGGTACAGTATATGCTGTGACGGTGGAGGTACAGTACAGTCTGTGCCAGTGGGGTGCAGTACATGCTATAACAGTGGGAGCACAGTACAGTAAATGCGATGACAATGTGGGGTACAGTCTGGTATATGCTGAGTGAGGGTACAGTATATTGTGGCAGCGGGGGGTACAGTAGAGTATGTGACAGTGGGGTACAGTACATGCTATGACGGTAGCCCCTGGCCTGAGCCATGCTCTATCCGCTGCTCGGGGAGAGAGTGAGATGGGGGGGTCGGTAAACTGTCCACGTTCCCGCGGCGAGCACACGCACCCGGCCACACCGCGGCCTGCAGGCTGCAGCGGCCGAATCCGCGCCGGCGCATCCATCGTCGCAGCTCCACGTGGCGCGGGTCGGGCCCCAGGGGCGCGCCACTCGGCCTCGGCGTGGCCGCGGGAGAAGCCGGCGTGGCCGAACCAGCCGCGGTGGCCTGCGACCTCCGCCGCCGTCGTCTCCTCCTCGCAGTGCGACCGGCGCTTCCCGCCATGATGCGTGACCCCTGACTCCTGACCCCCCCACACACACACACACCGCCCCACTCCCCCACCCACCCAAGAAACGATAGCATCCGGGTCACGACCCTCCCTCCCACCCCCTCTTCCCCCCCACCCCCTCTTCCCCCCCCACCCCCTCTTCCCCCCCCACCCCCTCTTCCCCCCCCACCCCCTCTTCCCCCCCCACCCCTCTTCCCCCCCACCCCCTCTTCCCCCCCCACCCCCTCTTCCCCCCCCACCCCCTCTTCCCCCCCCACCCCCTCTTCCCCCCCACCCCCTCTTCCCCCCCACCCCCTCTTCCCCCCCCACCCCCTCTTCCCCCCCACCCCCTCTTCCCCCCCACCCCCTCTTCCCCCCCCACCCCCTCTTCCCCCCACCCCTCTCCCTCCCCCACCCCTCTTCCCTTCCCCGCCACCCCCCCCCTCTTCCCCCCCACCCACCCCCTCCTCCTCACCCCCCCCTTGCTCCTCCTGACCCCCCCTCTCTCCGCCTCCCCCCTGGTCGCGTGGCAACGAGAGGACGCGTGACGTCACTGCGGCCTCTCGCACTGCACGGGCCTCGCTCCGCGGGTTGAGACTTCTAGAGGTGAGCGACTCTCACAACAACAACAACAACAAAACTCTCTCACAACAACAACAAGACTCTCTCTCACAACAACAACAAGACTCTCTCACAACAACAACAAGACTCTCTCACAACAACAACAAGACACTCACAACAACAAGGTTCTCTCTACGGACTCTCTGGTGACTCTAGGCCTTCTACTGACTCTCTGGGCCCTCTAAGTTGGCTTGTGGTTGTTGTAATAATTCCTGCAGTCACGAAAGCTCCAAAATTAAGATTGTTGTTGTTTGACTTGCATCCCACTGGGATTTTTGCACACAGCGTTGGTGTGCGGTGCTTTTTCTGGCATTTTTACTGGATTTTCAGTTTGCACATAGTCACTTTAAGATGTTTTCTTGTTCATGTTTTAGTTTTTTTCACCCGATTCAAGAGCCGAATGGCTCACAGGGCTACACCAAATACATGAAACTGAGAAACTGAAACTCTCGTTGCCTCTCCACTGACGCCTCTTCTCTGTCGGCGCTCTTGGACGTTCTGACGACTCATGGCACCGGCCTCACGGACACGCATGGTGGCTCTTGTTTTTGGTGGTGGCTCTTGTTGTTGGTGGTGGTTGTTGTTGTTTTTGGTGGTGGCTCTCGCTTGTCTGCTTGCGAAGCATGTGTAAGTCACAGCGGCGTTGTCCGCTGTTGACTTGTCGCACGGGGAGTTCTAGAAATGTCCATCGATGGCCCCCCGCGCCTCCCCTGGCGGAGGAGCGGACCACGTGCGTGGCTGCGTCTGTCGAGGTTGGCTTTGGTTGAGGTTGGGGGTGGTCATGGATATGTGGCAAGATATTAACTGCCTCGCTTGGTATACAGGAGGTCGTGGGTTCGATCATAACCCTGATGCTTGCGGTACAGTTGGAGTTTGCGTGTCTCTTTCCACGTGGTGAAATGTTAACTGCCTCGCCTGGTATACAGGAGGTAGTGGGTTCGATCCCAACCCTGACACCTGCTGTATAGTTGGAGTTTGCGTGTCTCTTTCCACGTGGTGAAATGTTAACTGCCTCGCCTGGTATACAGGAGGTCGTGGGTTCGATCCCAACCCTGATGCATGCTGTATAGTTGGAGTTTGCGTGTCTCTCTCCACATGGAGAAATGTTAACTGCCTTGCCTGGTGTACAGGAGGTCGTGGGTTCGATCCCAACCCTGACACCTGCTGTATAGTTGGAGTTTGCGTGTCTCTCTCCACATGGTGAAATGTTAACTGCCTCGCCTGGTGTACAGGAGGTCGTGGGTTCGATCCTGATGCCTGCTGTATAGTTGGAGTTTGCATGTCTCTCTCCACGTGGTGAAATGTTAACTGCCTCGCCTGGTGTACAGGAGGTCGTGGGTTCGATCCCAACCCTGACGCCTGCTGTATAGTTGGAGTTTGCGTGTCTCTCTCTCTACACGTGGTGAAATGTTAACTGCCTCGCCTGGTATACAGGAGGTCGTGGGTTCGATCCTAACCCTGATGCCTGCTGTATAGTTGGAGTTTGCGTGTCTCTCTCTCTCTCCACGTGGTGAGATATTAACTGCCTCGCCTGGTATACAGGAGGTAGTGGGTTCGATCCCAACCCTGACACCTGCTGTATAGTTGGAGTTTGCGTGTCTCTCTCCACGTGGTGAAATGTTAACTGCCTCGCCTGGTATACAGGAAGTCGTGGGTTCGATCCCAACCCTGACGCTTGCGGTACAGTTGGAGTTTGCGTGTCTCTTTCCACGTGGCAAAATGTTAACTGCCTCGCCTGGTGTACAGGAGGTCGTGAGTTCGATCCTAACCCTGATGCCTGCTGTATAGTTGGAGTTTGCGTGTCTCTCTCCACGTGGCGAGATATTAACTGCCTCGCCTGGTGTACAGGAGGTCGTGGGTTCGATCCCAACCCTGACGCCTGCTGTATAGTTGGAGTTTGCGTGTCTCTCTCCACGTGGTGAAATGTTAACTGCCTCGCCTGGTATACAGGAGGTCGTGGGTTCGATCCCAACCCTGACGCCTACTGCTGTATAGTTGGAGTTTGCGTGTCTCCACGTGGTGAAATGTTAACTGCCTCGCCTGGTATACAGGAGGTCGTGGGTTTGATCCCAACCCTGACACCTACTGTATAGTTGGAGTTTGCGGTGTCTCTCTCCCCGTGGTCGAGTGTTTTTTTGCCGGTTCCTCCGGGTTTTCCCACCACATTTAAAATCAACATCACGCGGTTAAAATATTTGGCTGCGATACATTTCCACGTGATAAGCTCGTTGGGCTATCACTTGTGGCCAGGTCGGTTATTAAAAAATAGATATGTAGCTCAGTGGGCCTTACTTGAGTTGAGTTCGTATAGTTTAGCTGTGTTCGTTGAGTGGCATTTGCTCGAGAAAGTTGTTTGGGTGTTGCTGTAGAAGACTCAAATGGCCGTGCCACTCACTCGGGTTTTTCTCCGGATCCTCCAATTTTTCCCTCTACATTTATTATATACAACACACGTTTAGAGTTTTTGCCAGTTATATATTTCCACGTGATGATGGTAAACCACTTCGTTGGGCTATCATTTGTGATGGCCACGTCACTTCTGAGAAAAGAGCTATGTAGCACAGTGGGCCTTACCTGCTAAAATAAATAAAAAAAAGAGTTGAGTTAAAATAAGTTTAGTTCGTATAGTTTATCTGTGTTCGCCGAGTGGCATCTGCTCGAGAAAGATGTTTTTGCGCTGCTGTCGAAGCCTCAAATTGGCCGTGCCGCTCACTCGGGTTTTGGTTTTTCTCTCCCCAGACGAAGGAAGGCCATGGTGCTGCTGCACGTGAAGCGTGGGGATGAATCGCAGTTCCTGCTGGAGAGCAACGCGCAAGCGCCGCTCGACGAGCTCACGGCGCGGGCGACGCGCATCTACAACGGGCGCCTCCGCGTGGAGCGGCTGTGCTCGGGTGAGGAACCCGGTGCCCGCCCAGAGTCGGGAGGAAGCTCGCTGGGTTCAGGAAAGGTTTTTCCATAGGCGGAGTTGGGGCCACCCCCCAAACTGGGCAATGCCCCCCCCCCCCAAAAACCGGACACCGTTATTAATTTATTTTCAGAAGTGTACAATTAAGATTGAAAACAAATTAATTATATGCATCCGCGAATCCTTTTGTGAGGGACAATATAAACCCCTGCCCCCGTCCCCCCCCCAAAAATATATAAGTCAAACTCCGCCTATGGGTTTTTCTACTATCGACCACATACAGAATTTTATCAATCGGATATTGGACCGAATAGTCATTTTTAACCGTGCGTCATTTGTTCCATGCTGTGTGTGATTATTTGTGCTTATCACCGCAACGTGGCGCGAACGTTCACCTGCGCGCGTTCTAAATTTCCTTTGCAACGTTATTATCCGTGCCACGGTCTGAGCTCAAATCGCTGGTCTGGCGACCCTTTAAAGTTCGTTTGGCGACTTTCCGCCGCTTAAAAGCGACGGCAACGCTTCCCGTGCGCTGCGCCCGTGCGTGCGAGGCAGGTGTGGAGGAGCTGGCGTCGCACGGGGCAGCACTGCCGCCCAACATGCAGGGCCTGACGGAGGAGCAGCTGGTGGAACTGCGGCTTCGGGACGAGTGGGCCGAGATCTGCGTGCCCAGCGGCGGCGCCCAGTTGTCCCCCGATCCCTGCGGGCGTCGAGGAGGCCAAGGTATCCCCCCGAGTTCATTCAAGGGGAGTTAGCCCACTGACAAATACGGAGCTATGAAGAAGGGTCCTTGCCTTTAACAAAACCATTCATACTCTATATTGTTTTCCTTTTAGGGCCATGATGTTATTTGTCAATGTGTTGAGTGTTATTTGTGCTTGTGCACCACTTCTAATGGCATATCACCAACAAGTGTGGTCAAACAACCTCTGACGACTTACATGTCTTGAGAGACCTTCATTCAGCAGTGCATTGACAGCACGGTGGCGAGATGTTAACTAACTCGCCTGGTATACAGGGAGGTCGTGGGTTCGATCTCAACCCTGACGTCTTTATATTTGGATTTTGCATGTTCTCCCCGTGGTCGCGAGGATTTTTCTCCGGATCCTCTGGTTTTTCCCTCCACATTTAGAAACATGCATTTAGAGTATTAGGCTGGTAGAAATTTCCACGTGATAAGCCACTACTTTGACCAATCAATTGTGGCCAGGTCGCTTCTAAAAAAGAGCTGTATAGCTCAGTGGGCCTTACCTGGTAAAATACTTTTTTTTTAAATAGTTTTAGCTGCAGTTACGATTTTACCGGAAAAAACCATCAGAGTGTGTGTATCTAGGGCAGTTATGGAAAGCCGACCAGGATCTAAAGAGGTGGTGGATAGCAGGTTTTCGTGCTGTTGTTAAAATTAACTACGTTGAAAATACATCATTAGACCTGCTTTGCCCGTACCAAAATACAATAATAGGGTTTTTCTTCTTTTTCTGGCAACAAAACTGAAACCTTTTTACA